ACACCCACCTCCAAATTAATTTTACGCGTGTCCACGTGGGTGGGGGGAAGTGCCGCCGAGCAAATTAGTAGAGGTACCTTGAAGTAGTAAGGACCCTTGGATTAATACTTTTTATTGTTGTAGGTGGGGGACCACTCTGGACACCCTTTAGGAGGTAGTCATGATATATCTATCTATCTAACCTAATCTAATCTAATCTATCTAATCTAACCTAACCTAATCTAACCTAATCTAATCTAATCTAATCTAACCTTTCTAATCTAATCGATCTAATATAATCGATCTAATCTATCTATCTAATCTATCTATCTATCTATCTATCTACCTACCTATCTATCTATCCATCCATCTATCTATCTAATCTAATCTAATCTATTCTATTCTATTCTATTCTATCTATCTATCTATCTACCTACTGCAATTACACAGATAGTTTCTCATGATTCGCATGCTTCTCCAGATTCATTCTAATTCTAGCTGCTGGCAAACCTGCCCAATATACTTTTGCTGCTTGATTCCATGTGGCTACTGGAACCTCTCACCGAAAGGCGAGGACATTTTCGTAAACTTCACAGACCCTCTCACCCTTCTGCGCGTTAGGGCCTCAGATGATCTCAGATGATCTCAGATGATCTCAGATGAGGGCCTGAAAAAATGGATGCAGTTCGGCGTAGTTCGGCTGCGCGACATGCGCTTAGGTGGACGTCATGTTCCAAGAGGAGACCTCCACTCGGCCAGAGTGCGTGGCGAGCACAATCTGGGATCCATGGTCGCTTGCCAAGTTTACCAAGTTTGGGCCAGGTTTTCATTTGAGCAGGTTCTTACAACCTGGAAACTTGTCAACTTCAACCTTTCAAGAGTCTTATGCCAATATCACAAATGTCGACAGAAAGTTTGAAAAGCTCTTGAGGCTGCGGTAAATGTGATGCATGGCATATGTTTTTAGCTCTTGGATGTTTCCGCGGGAATTTGCTGGTACTTGCAAGGCCAGCAGGCCTTATCAGCAAACTCATGTTCAGATATGTTCGGGGAGAGGGTGGGGCACAATTCTCTTTTTCAAAGTATCAGCGTGGGCGTCATGAATGAGTCTACAGCATGGAATATTGAACTAGTACAGTGATATGATGTAATACATATAGATATAGATATACTATATAAATGTAGAAACATGCAGATGATACGCATATAGGGTGGTTCTATGTTGTTCCTATTGGTATGTGGGCGCGGGAAAGGTCTCGTGCCAGCGCCTTGCTCTCATCCCAATGCTTCGATCCTCCAAATCCCCATGAGTCTTAAATCTTTGGACTGGTTCAAGCTCGTGTGCGTGCGTGTGTGTGTGTGTGTGGGTATAGTTTCTGTAGTATGTATTTATGTATTTATGATTATAACAGTAGTACCGCACAAGGCGGTGGCGGAAGTTTCAAAAATAGGAAACCTATAGGAAAGGTTGGTTGTTGTGAATCCGGAATGGCATAGCGAAGCCACTGATGGATCGAAAAGTGATTGATGTCTCCTCTCTTTCTCTCTCTTTCTCTGACTATCTACCTACCTACCTATCTATCTATGTATCTATCTATCTATCGATCTATCTGTCCATCTATCTATCTATCTATCTATCTATCTGCAAGATCGAAAACGAAGAAATTCTGCGAGACTTCCTTAATGTTTGAACATAACAACGTCCAAAACGAAACAATTCTGCGAGACGTCTTCATTTTTTGAACTTGACAACATCCGAAACGAAACAACTCTGGGAGACTTCTTCATTTTTTGAATTTGACAACATCAAAACAAAACCCTCACGTTTTGCTCACTTTTGAAGAGGTGCACAATCCCTTGCGCCTGCCACGCGAAACGACATCTGAACCTCCAAAAGTGGTCCGAACCCCTGGTGTTTTTAACATGTTGACTTCGAAATGTGCTTCGCGCCACAACGCCGTGCACTTTTTCGACATCTCAACTTGCAAAAGTGGTCCGACACTAGTGTGTTTTGTACATTTTGACTTCGAAATGTGCTTCGCGCCACAACGGCGTGCACTTTTTCGACATCGCAACTTCCAAAAGTGGTCCGAGACCGCCAGTTTTTAACACTTTTGACTTCGAAATGCGCTTCGCGCCACAACGGCGTGCACTTTTTTGACATCTCAACTTCCAAAAGTGGTCCGAGAATGGTGTGTTTTGTACATTTTCACTTGGAAATGTGCTTCGCGCCACAACGGCGTGCACTTTTTCGACATCTCAACTGCCAAAAGTGGTCCGCACCTGGTGTGTTTTGTACATTTTCACTTGGAAATGTGCTTCCCGCCACAACGGCGTGCAATTTTTCATCTCTCATTTGGCCAGCTGGCTCCGCACCCGCCGCTTTAGCGAGCCTACTTTTCGACCCTCCGGAGCCCCAAATCATTGGAAAAACACCGTTTTTCGCGACTTTCCTACCTGTTCGCGCATCTGCATCTGCTTTCTTCTGACCCTTTCTCTTCTCTGATCTTCTCTCTTCTACTCTCTCTCTTCTCTCTGCCTCTTCCCTGCTCAGCTTTTCATCTGTCCATATTGTCGGAAGTTTGACTTCTAAACTTCCTTCGATAATATGTGTGACTTCCCATACCAAACAATGATTTCTAGGAACGATTTACTACTGTAGTCTAATGTGGGTTTCCGAAGAAAATTTGGGCGGAGTGGAAGGCCTGTCCGTGTTCTTTCTTTTGTTCTGTTCGTGTTTTTCCTTTTGTTCTGTGGCCAACGGGGAGCGCGGAATTGACG